CGCAGTCCGTGAGTTCGAGCCCCGCGTCGGGCTCTGTGCTGACAGCTCGGAGCCTGGCACCTGTTTCAGATTCTGTGTCTCCCTCTCGCTGACCCTCCCCTGTTCATGCTCTGTCTCTGTCTGTCTCAAAAATAAATAAAAACGTTAAAAAAATTTTTTTTTAAATAAAATGTTCCCATTTCGTCCCAAACTTGTGGTCTAAACCTCATGATGGTTCTCAATGTCACTAGCCTTAAGGAACTCTCCTTCTTGGAATTTTTCTCTTCTTCTTATATAGAGGATACAAAGATTGCAAAAACAAGCTTCAGAATCCGGGCGTGGGGGTAGATGATTCATTCCCATTATGTTATCTTTTGAATGTAGTTAACAGCTACCCCGGCACTACCCTCGTTCCTTATCCACCTGAATTCCATTGTAGACAAACAAACAAAAAGATAATGGAAAAGGCAATCTTAGGGAGACACTAGAGAGTCTGATGGACTCTGGTAATGAAGTTATTACAAACTCTGCCGCCCACAAAGATCTGGCAAGAGCCAAAGAATGGATGTTTGTGCAGATGCCTTGTCATAGCTCTGTGTCATTCGCCTGGGGCTACCAAATCTCTTGGCAAATAGTAACTCATCCTCAGAGCCTCCCAGAAGGAAGGGCATTAGTATGCACTCTGAGGAAGAGCCAGGAAATTAGAGTTTTTCTAAAGCCAAAAGGTCAGTGCTGGCTTTGCAAACCTACCTGAAGCTTTCTAGGTTTTATATGTAGGTTCTCACTCCCATTTGGGAAAACAATTACAGAACGCTTGAGTTTAAGAACTAGAAGGGTTTTCAACAGATACCTATGCCAACTGAGTACATTCATACTTAAATCCCCTTAGTTAACATCTTCACTAGGTGTCCTCTAACTTCTCTTGAAAACATCTAATGAAGGTTCCAAAATAGACTATGCGAGAAAGCAGCCCAGAGACAGTGAAATATGAGGACTGAGTGTGGAAGGGCAGGTCACGGGACGATTAAGGAATCCTCCTGTAGGGAAGACAGGGAATAGTGAGACTGTACCTTGCATTTGGGGAAGGTGGGGATGAGGACCCATTTTGGCCTTCCTCAAAGACCAGTGTTGGCATGAGCAGAACCTTAAGGGAATAGATGGGCTGGACAGACGAGAAGTAGGAAATGTACCACTTTCCTAAGCGGTGTCCTTTTTCCCATTGACGATTTGGCTCTTGTCTGTCATGGTCTTTCTGGATTGAGTTGCAAGGACAAAAAGATTGGTTTGCCCAAAATGAGACTTCAGTGATTATCCTACATCTCCTGTTGCATCCACACGACTCCTGAAACAGAATGCCACGGGCACCAGTGACAGTCACAACAAAGTTTATTGCAACGAGAGGCAAGGCCGACCAATCGGGACCGACACTCTTGACCAGAGTGCGGCCTCGAACAGCCGAACAGCCGAGGTACAGAGTTTTTATAGCCGACCACATCATCTTATCACCTGGGAACAGAACAAAGAAATAGTTCCCAGATGGGGGTGGAAACAGTTCAGACCTTCTGCCGGTTAAGCCGCAACCAGTTGACCTCCTTGACCCTGCCTCTGGCCCACTTTTTCAAAGTTCTCAACATGCCCTTGCCCCAATCCAATCAAACACCAATCCAGTTGATTTCCCTTGAACTTTCGTTCCCTTGATTGATAGGACAAGGCCGTTATCTCTTAACCTACAGTGTCAAAACAAAGCTGTTATTTCCCAAGGCTACCGGGTTAGCCCTACACTACAATTTAACCCTTACATTCCTAGCAGGTATTAGTGTGATTTTTGACAAGTTAAAAAAAAAATTATCTGAAACTTGGAAATAGGAAAAGGAGATTATTGGGTACTTTCTCAGTGCCAGGCTTGACTTCCTATTTACTGGATTCGTTTTCTTCCCTATGAGGCAAAGGCTCATTGGGAAAATTTTCTTCCACAGAAATGCAAATAATTTCTTCCCAGTGGAACTAAGAGCCTCAAGGTTTACAGTTTATGATCCTGTTCAACATAAACCAGTTTTTGTACAGCTTGTAACCCCGCAAGCCATTAGATTACCTACACATATCTAGTGTTTCAAATGCTCTTTGGGCCAGTTTTGAATCTTACTGCTTTCCACATTACTTAATGAGCTCAATAAAATCTTTGCAAAGTATTCCTTTAAAATCTGTATGCATGAAAGACGTGGCTTTTTATCTTTTTTAAAAATTGTGGTTTGGGGCGCCTGGGTGGCGCAGTCGGTTAAGCGT